TTTTACAAATTCTATTCAGAAATTACTTTCAATAATATCTTTTTGGCTTCTTTGCAGTATTGTTTTTATTGATAGCATGCTAATTTATGTGGTTTGTTTTTCAATTTTTTTCAGTGCAATAAAGCAAGGTCTGCTATCTCTAAACACTATAAGGTTTATAAGCTTCCTAATTGTGGTCAGTGCCACTGCAAAATTATTGCATGTCGCTTAGGGGAGAATAACAGAATGACATATTTCTGCCCTCAGTGTCAGAAAGAAAATCCTCAACATGTTGACATAAGGTAAGATAAAGAAATTTTTTCCCAGTTGCTTTTGAATTGATCCCAACTCATAGTGACGTTTTGTGTGTCAAAGTAGAATGGTTCCATAGATTTTTATTTTTTGTCTGTGCCTGATTTTTCACAAAGTGTTGAACTTTTCTTCCAATAGCATGTTCAAAGGGATATTACTTGCTCCTAATTCTCTAACTGCCTGTCACTATTAAACATAATTGAAAAGTATTCGAACCTTTGAAAAGAAATAAACAACATCATCAAAGAACTAGAAGGGTCCAAAGATGATTCATGAATGACTTCTAAATTTATCTCCAGCCCTGAGCTTTAATCTACTTTGTAAATATATAGATATGTCAATCATTGACAAAAATGCAAATATCTTCACAAGTCTTTGCTTTATTTGAAAATATAAACTATGAGCATGATTTTTTTTACAGAATGTATATCTTTTTTTGGTGAAACAGCATTCTAATTAAAATTTAAGTAGCTCCATGAAATATATGGGATTGTTAATCAAATAATCAATAGACACATGAAACACACTAACTGGTAAAAGTGATCAACTCCATGTGTGTCAACATAGAAGTGTGCAACACTGAGTTTTCAGTAGCTGAATTTTTGAAGTGGATCACCAGAACTTACTTCTGAGGTGCCTCTGTGTGGTCTCACACCTCCATCCACCCTTTTGTTTTGCAGTCAAAGACATTATCTGTTTATACCAGCTAAGGACTCCTCAAGGATATCAATAATAAACATTGCTTAACAATTGGTATATGGAATATTCATAGCTTGAATGTTGAAAAACTGAATATTGTTGAAAATAAAATGGAATGCATGAATATCAACATACAAGGCATTGTTGAGATGTAATGGACCAGTTATGGCCACTTCGAATCAGATTAATCATATGCTATACTATGTAAGGAATGAAATAGAAGAATGGTGTTGCATTCTTAGTAAAAATGTAAATTTCAACTTCTGTCCTGAAATACAATGTTGTGAGTGATAGGATAATTGCCATACACATATAAGGAGGATCCGTTAACATGACTATTATTCAAATATATGCTCCTATACCTAGTGCCAAAGTGGAAGAAATTTAGAATTTTTATCAAATTTTGCATTCTGAAATTCACTGAACATGCAATCAGGATGTGCTAATGATAATTGGTGACTGGAATGCAAAAGTACAAAATAGTGAAGAAGGGACAGTAGTTAGAAAATATGGGCTTGGTGATAGAAATGAGGCTGGAAATAGAATGACCGAATTTTGTATTTACAATGATTTATTCATTTTCTAAAAGACATTAAAAATGACTCTACATGTGGATTTCACCCAGTGGGCTGCATAGGAATCAGATTGACTACATTTGTGGAAGAAATCATTGGAGAAGCTAAATATTATCAGTCAAAACTAGGCCAAGGGCAGACTGTGAGTCAGATCATTAATTATTCATTTGCAAATTCAAATTGAGGCCAAGGAAAATTAAAATAAGTCCTCAGGAACCAAGATATGATCTTGAATCAATTCCATCAGAATTCCATGATCAACTTAAGAATAGGTTTGAGGCATTGAACACCAACAATAGAAGACCAGATGAGTTGTGGGCTGATATCAAGGAAGTCATCCATGAAGAAAGCAAAATGTCATTAAAAAAACAGAGGAGAAAGGAAAAAAAAA